TGCAGCAGCCACCCCAAGGTACCTCAACTGATCGCTCCCATGGGAAGTTCGTTAGAGGAGCTCCTAATTTGACCTCGAAGAAGGCACAAGCGTGCCAAGCCTAACTCATTGTTCACACAATCATGTTAGCGCCAGAGATTGAGGATCACCCCCCAACCTAGTCCGTACTGCTTTGATGGTATCAGTTCTGTCATGGTATCAGTTCATTATCCTTCGCCTAGGAACGGGACACAATCAATTACGCAACCAAATATAAACACAATTCAAGATTGGTGTATCACCCATTTTGCCCCAGACATCAAAACGTGTACTTTAGGACTGCACCGATTATGACACATTAAGGCAAACCTTTTGGCCAGAAAGAACAATAGTGGACAGTGAAGTTAACGGATCACTGAATGAACTATAAAACAAAAGTGACGTTCATAGAGGGACAAACCTGCTGATAAAAACGTTTCTTTCGGTCGAACGAAAGAACAAGATCAGCTCTGCCCATGCTTCTCTTCATTTGCATTAGAGCATAACTTGCCAGCTGGACAGAAAGTTCAAATAGCGAATCTGGTGCCACATATAATTAGTAAGTGACGTTGTGGTGAACTTTTTGTATGTTTCAGAGTTCTGCTGTTGGTAATAGACTTGCGAGATGCCGGGAAGGGTTACTCGATAAACAAATGACTGCAGAAGTCTGATGTGTTTGCAAAATTGCGCAATATCGCAGCCATGCTGTAAACAGGCAGAACGCAATTACATCTTCAGATGAACGCAGAAGAAGAAGAAGAAGAAGAAGAAGAAGAAGAAGAAGAAGAAGAAGAAGAAGAAGAGAAGAAGAAGAAGAAGAAGAAGAAGAAGAAGAAGAAGAAGAAGAAGAAGAAGAAGAAGAAGAAGAAGAAGAAGAAGAAGAAGCAGAAGAAGAAGAAGAAGAAGAAGAAGAAGAAGAAGAAGAAGAAGAAGAAGAAGAAGAAGAAGAAGAAGAAGAAGAAGAAGAAGAAGAAGAAGAAGAAGAAGAAGAATCTCGGAACGTTGGAGCTACGAGGCGGATATGCCATGTATCATGGGTTAAATGCTGCATTGTAATGTCATTGACCAGCTATGTCCAACAAGAAAACTGACTTAACTCTTTCAGTAGCAGCCTATAATTACTTTAATCACTGCATTCAGAGAAGTGATTATTTCAACAACAAAAATTCACTCAGAAACAATAATAATGTGGGCAGGATGAGTAATTCTGATAAGATTGACTTCATTGCGATGCCTCTCATCCGATACGACTGCGTCTATGTCCACTGAACGCACTGTGACAGAGAGCGATGTTTTTTTTCAGAATTATTCTGATAATAATTATGTGCTGAAAACACTAAAACCTGTTTGAGTTCATATTTACCGTGGCACCTTACCATCCAGACGATAGTGTTACATTGTGCTGTTAGGAGACATGAAACTCACAAACTGGGGAGGGGGGGGGGAGGTGGGGGGGGGTGTCGAGTATGAAATAACATCTATTTTTCTGACAAGTGCTTAAAGAAAAAAAGCTGTTATACGTTGTAGTAAGCCCACTGTCCCCCCCCCCCCCCCCCCCCCCCCCAATGATTCAAAAGTCCACCCCCCCCCCCCCGCCCTCACCTTAAAAAAAACATGATTAGATTGCGCAATGTTCATGAGCCCTCAGGTTTCGTCACCCATGCCATCTGTGTTGATAGGACGCATAAACTCATATCCAACTACAAATAACAGCCAGTCTAATAACCAGATAGTTTTTTAATTGGTATTGTTATCTACCTACAGGGGACTGTCCTTCATTACCTAAGGCGCTAACGAATTTATTATTTGAGAATGAATTGTCTTGTGGATCGAGGCATTTTTTTGAGGACACCAACAGTTACAACGCTACATGGCAAGTTGCCTATAATGCGTCCAACAGTATAACTGACGAGTCTCATTACGTATATCAACCGGGTGGTGGCATATTTGAAGGTATGTATGCACAAAAAAGTGTCTGAATGTACCGTGTCTTCAATTTGTCAGTGCCTGATTTTCCCGATATATCCAATGATTATATCAACCGGGTGGTGGCATATTTGAAGGTATGTATGCACAATAAAGTGTCTGAATGTACCGTGTCTTCAATTTGTCAGTGCCTGATTTTTCCGAAATATCCAATGATTTCTGAAATATGCATACTCCACTTGTCATAAAAATCGGTACTTCTGAGTGTCTCTTCTGGCATTCCGCAAACTCGTCGGTGTGGTGTCTTTTACCTTCTTCTAATACAGACAGTACATGGAATTCCCAAAACCGTACAAATCGTCTGCTAATACTGATGTAACGTATGCAGATCTGGTGTAATCCTTCATAACGAAACATTTTATAATAGTAGATTTTTACCCCACCAGAACAAAACACGAGCGATGAACACCCGATGCCACAAAGTCTCACCATGTGGATGAGGATCACCCGTGAAGAGATCCCAGAAACCACGTTCAGACATTAGACCATATTTATGGTCGGGCTATATTGCGGCCCCTGGCAAGAGCCAGAGTAGGGCTTCAAATAATGAAACATTGCATCCCACAAGGGGAGGACTGGATTTACTTTTAGTATAGAAACATTTGTTTTCCACTCTCAGATTATGACTGCCTTTTTTTTTATAGCAGTCAGTCTATCGATTTTGCAATTTCCCTGTAATAAATGTTCTCTGCCATGGATAAGCAGCATGTTATGTAACGCACTAGATGTCCACTAATAAAGTTTTTTCGTCCATTGCTTAATGTTATCCTTCCTCTTGTCTCACTGTAAACCTTTTGATCGATTACCTCCACCGTTTACCCACATTCTCTATGGCTTTTATAAAAGAATGTTGCCTTTGATTATAGCCGGACTTTTTAATTTGTGCTTTTTTTCCCCCTTAATTTGTTTTCAAAAAGCTTGTATTAAATTCGCTTTTGTTTTGTTTGTCTAGTAATATATTATGATTTAGTTTTTTATACTTTTTTTCCCCCCGATAAGAGATTCCGAAAATGCTTCTTTTAAGCTGTCATTTCGAGTGTTGTAGATAGCCAGGCAATAAAATATATTTCTCAAGGTAAAAATGTTTCTTGACTAAAAGAGAAAATTTCCTACTTGACCATGAAAGAATTTTCTTGATGGCTACACTATTCTGTAGATGCAAGTACTGACTGACACTTCTCGAAAGTTTGTAAATTGTATTCATGAGTTGAGGGGCGGCTGGCCGAACGGTTAGAACGCTGGGCTCTAATGCGGGAGAGCCGAGTTCGAATCTTGGGTAATGCCGGGGATTTTGTATACTAGGGGAAAGATACCTTTCTCACCTGTACTACAGGTGCCCTAAATACGCAGGCTCAAAGACACCCCTGCCTACACCGCAAAAAAGTGGTATAATAAATTGGCAGAATGCATAAGTTTTATCATTACATTATCACAACAGGTACTCATGGATTTTACTCAGGTGGGGGATATGTGATTCCGTTCGATGAAGACGATTTGCAAAGAATGGCAGATGCTCTCACCTCAGCATACATCTCAGACTGGATAAATGAACTAACAAAGTAAACACAATCACTTAATAATTTCATTGACTGACTGACTGACCTTCTACCCCACTAGGACATCACACAAGCGATAAACACCCGATGACACAAAATGCCACCATGCGGATGAGGATCGCCGTGGAGAGGTCCCAGAAACCGCGTTCAGACAATTGGCCATATTTATGGCCTGCGTATATTGCGGCCCCTGGCAAAAGCCAGGGTGGGGCTTCAAATAACAAAAAATGGTGTCCTTAAAAGGACGTAAGGCATGACTGATAATAATTTCATTAAGAAAGGGTTACGTCTTAACTGCAGCACTTGTGTGCACTTTATTAGACACGTTTAGTTATTACGTTAGTAATTAAACTCCTTCATTTGTATGCAACTTGCCATTCATGTGTTGGTTTCCTTTTACAATAAATATGTAGTGAAAGGTCATTTACATTAAAAATGTAGTAAAATGATGCGAGGAAAGTCAGTGTTTTGATGACATGTTCTGAGAAAGAATGGCTTCGCAAATTTAGTGATAAGTAGCAAGTATACTGGTAGACATACCCAAGCTAAGGCACGCAGATACATCCACTGGTGCAGCGGTCATAAAGTTAGGACTAGCAAGAGCACTGTCCTGATCAGTGATTTTGGTGATAATTTGAGATGGCCTTACATGACCGCCTAGTTTTAATTTCTAGTTATTGACTCTTTCGAGTTTTTTTTGTTTTTTTGGGGGGGGGGGGGGGGGGGGTTCTATGTATGGGTCTCCGTCTACATTTTGCTGTTTCAATTTGTATCTTGTATCATCTAGCTGTCAACATGTTTGGTTTCATTCGTTTTAGATAACTGAGCATTTTCCTTTTGATTTTCTCCGGCAACATTTAATGAAACATCCTTTCTTAGATGGTTAGTTGTCACGTTCGTTGGGTAAAGTCCAGATCTGACACTATAGACTAATGTTTGCATACATACTGCATCCACATTGTGCCCTTTTATCTCTTTAGAGAATGGCCGGTTGTTCAAAGACTGGCATAAGCTAACTAGCCATATTGTTTGCTGGTCAGATTTATTCTACACCTCATCCCAGAATTGAGCTTACGTTACTCCGTGATCGTTGCGATGCCCTACGTAACTGTTTTATCAGGTTGAATGTTAGCTGTCTATGTTTGATTCTCGTCCTTGAGGTGTTAAGCCTAAAAAAACAGCAGCCCTGTGTGGTAATGATGACCGATAAGCTGCCAGATTGTGTTTCCATCACAGTTTACGTAACCATTGCATGCCAAAGATGCAACCCCCTCCATCCCTCCCTCCCCCCCCCTACACACACACACAGACACAACTAATAATGCTTATTAGCACAATATTCGCATGCATTGTTTACTCACTAATGTTGTTTCTAAAAAATAAGACATGCTTACAAAATAGTTGTCACTCACGAACGTCCACCGTTGATATTTCTCACAGGTGCATTTTTGTGGAGTTTACGCTCTACAATGCTGCCAACGGGCATTTCACAAATGTTATCATCTTGTTTGAGTTCACCAAATACGGAAGCATTTATCCGAGAGCTAACATACAGACGGGTAGACATTTTTTTGAAGACATACACGGCAACCAATGGCTCGAGCTGACTGAGGTGAATGATTGTGTTTTGACTAAGGTTTTGATTGATTGCATCCGTTTCTATGTCACATTGTATTTAGAAGACAATGGCAAACAGCTGAACACAGACTTGTCTAGTTAACTCACAAACCGCTGACGAATGCAGCAGTTGGGTTGAAGAATGTGAATGAAAAAAAATATCAATGTCAGAACTATTTGTTTTTCTCTTCTTCACATTCTCTTTTATCGTTTTGTGTGTCGAGGAATATGCAAGGTTCCCCTTCTTGCTCTTCTCGACCATACATATATCTAGCTGGTGCATACTTTCTCTGATGTTATCTTTCGATCTCACTCTTTGTCTGTCTCTTGCCCCACGTAAATTTCCTCTTTTATGTAAACATTACATGGTATGGCATCACAAGGCATTATCTCTAAACTATTTGATGTGATTTTGTGTGTGTAATTATGTTTTCAGTTACTGCCTCATTCCTAAAATGTTATCTTTATTAGTTACTTGTGCAGCACTTTACATGTACCCCATTTCTATCGGTACTCATTTTCTTTTCTAGTTTGTTGCGAGTGACCATGTGTGGAAATGGAAGAATAGCGAGGGAATAGATATGGTGTGTATGAGATGTTTTATTGTGCTGATCAGGATTGTCTTATACTGTAAAAGGGGAGCTAGCTGTCCCAGAACTCGACGTGCTCTATTTCACTGAATGGAAGAACCTCATTGCTAGGAAGTTTCAGGATTACCCTATTGCTCTGACATGGATCCAGCTTAAAAAATGTAAACGAAAAATGCACGTACAGTTAAGGCGCCCAGCATTTATGCTGATCACATCTCGAATTTCGATCGATACATCAGCTTAGTTCTAATAACGTATATTGGCAACGCCAATGGCGTGAGAATAATTCTCTCACGCCTTTCCTGCCCCCTTCCCACCCGCCCTGTTTTCCGGCTTTCCCTCCCCCTTCCATAAATTATAAGATCTATTTATTAAACTTTTTTTTTTTTTTTTCAGGGATTTATGGTGATACTTGTTGTTTTTTACACACTTGTACAAATACGCATTCTGTGGAAAGCAGGATTCAAAAACTATATTCTTAACATATGGAATTGTTTTGAGGTATGTTATCCGTGACACATTTACTTTCTGTTAGTTTATATTTATGTTGCGCTACATGTATTTTACACACACACACACACACACATGCGCGCGCACGCATACACGCACACACTCACACTTCACAGGAGCAAGAAACCAAACCTTATATCTATCGCGAAAGCTGAAGCTGTAAAAGAGGAAGTGATGAAGAGGAAAGAGAAACAGAAGAAGAAGAAAAAGAAGAAGATTGCTATTGGTATTAAAAGGTTAATTCTCCATATCATTGTTGAAAACAAAACAAAGCGGCTTGTTACCAAATCGTTTGCAGCCGAGTCGAAACTAGTACCTCGAAATTACAAACGACGTTCGTAACCTTTCAACAAACGTCCGAAGGTATTGTGTCTGGACTCCGCATTTAGATGGATAATAAAATATTACCTTGGCTCACAGGACTACGTTGTCTTAAATAAGTATTAGGAAATATGAAGCGGCGTCCGTGGCTCAGGCGTTGCGAGTCTGACTTCTAATTCCAACGTATGGCGATCGAAACCCACCGCTGGCTGCGTAGATTTTTATCCTGGTATGGGGCGTTGCAGGTTGACTCAGCCTAAAATAGGTTACAGTGTGGCTGTCCTTGGTAAGTAAAGACAACCGGCGTAATGCTGACCACATTACCCACCTAGTGCCGATGGTCTGTAAAAACATATGGGCGCACTTCCCATATGCCCGAAAAGACTAAGGCGTGAAAAGGGATCTTTACTTACTTTTTTTTTAAAATGAATTATGATGGGAAATAAATGAATTTGTAATGTTGAATAAATCACAAGTCAAATTATGTTTGCGGCATTTTTGGCTTAGGCGTTGCGAGTCCGACTCGTAATTCACACATACCGCGATCGAAACCCACTGCTCTGGTTGCCTGAATTTGTATCGTGGTATGGGGCGTCGCAGGTCGACCCAGCATAAAATGTGTACAACGATGGCTGTCCTGTGGAAGTAGAGACAGCTGACCTCATTACCCACCTAGTGCCGATGGTCTGAAAAAAAATATAGGCGCTCTTCCCATTTACCCGATACGCCTAAGGGAATTGTATGATGATAATAGACCAGATGTAGAACTGTAGACCAACAATGATGGTCCACCATTATAACTCAGAAGTTGAGAATGCATCGCATCATGTAAAAAATAGAAATAGCACTTGGGCCAGACAACATCCTTTTTTTTTAAATTTTGAACTGAAAAAATAAATAAACTTTTAAATAATATTTATAATAGTGTGTACATTCCAAATGACCTTTTAAGATCCATATTTATAGCTCTGCCAAAGAAACAAGGCACTTTAAAATGTGAAGACAATCGCACAATAAGTCTTATGAGTCACATGACTAATATGTTTCTGAGAATAATTATGAGAAGAAAAAGAAACTCCACAGGGAAGCATGTACAGCAGGAGTCTACCAATCATCGGTAGAAGTGATCTCTCGTCGACAAATGTTTCGGCCCACGAGCTCCTAGACATTTTCAGAGAGTGGGCCCACCATAGTTCATGAGGCTCAGGGTTGGTTTCTTCTGCAGCACGTATTACCGGATAAATATACAGTGAAAAAATAATGTGATACTGATGACACAATCTTGATAGCAACAAGTCAGAACTCATCATCATCATGTAGCAGGTCCTTTGCAGAACGTCGTTCTCATCACGGTCTGCCTGAAATAAACTCGGTCTCTCGCCAGCTCTCCCGCCACATGTACTTTCTTACATAAGGAGTCACTTATTTTCTGTGCCCATCTTCGTGTTGGTCGGCCCCTGCCCCTCCTTCCTGGTACCATGCCCTCTGCTATTTTTTTTTTTGCCAATCCGCAATGGCGCTTGATATGACTAACTTTTAGCTTCCGAGACAGGATGGTGTTTATTAGCCAATCTTCCTTGATGTTCAGATCTTTCAAGATGTCAGTGTTTCCCTTCTCTTTCGTCCATGATATTCTGAGAATCTTTCTATAGCATTTCAGCTCAAAAGCCCCTATTCTCTTTCCCAAGGACTGGGAGATAGTCCACGTCTCACATCCGTATGTTGCTACAGGGAAGATGAATGCTCTCAAAATTCTAATTTTGATCTCCATGCTGGTGCTTAAACGTAGACTTTTTAGGCCACAAAGAACTACGGGAAGTAATATACATTGTGGTGGTAAAAAAAGGAAGAATTGGCCTTTGTTTGAAATGGAAAGACACAAGTAATGGTGGTATCAAAGAATATGTGTTATACAAGTCAATGGTGTCATTTTGGGACAAGTTCCGAAATTTAGGTATCTAGATAACATCAGATGGAAGATCCATTACCTAGATAAGAAACATAATAGGAAAGGTAGAAGCTGCATTTAATGAAATGAAAAACATCTTATACATCTATGTCATTGAAGGTTGGAAAAATAATTTTTTCAGTATAGATCCAGTTTTGACATAGGCTGGGGATCCTGGACCATCGGTAGGTAGGCAAAATATTTGTACGGAGGCTTCAGATAGTATGAGTGGGAAAGATGATCAGACTGGGTATAAACTAACAAGACTATCAGTTACACGCAGGGCAGCTGTTTGAATGAAATAATCTCAGACGAGGACGCATTGCTTAGCTAGAAACCGTTTGTGTCGAATAAAAGTACGTAATTTAGTTCTGAGGTGTATAAGATGCGTAGAATGAGAGTAGTGACGAGTAGTGCTAGGTAACAGAAGATATTCCTAGCCAAATTAAAAAAAATAAAAAAAGAAATAGCGGAAGTAGATACCAATTTATTAAAAATAGTTCTATAGGTTAGTGTGAGAGAAGCTCCATATCAACTGACACACTGTGTATAACGATGTTTAGTATAACAATGTCGGCTCTGTGGCTAAGTCGATGCGAACGCTTCGTAATGCCGGGGTGCCGGGTTCGATCCCAGCTGCGGGCCATGCTCCTTGCGTTGGTTTTGACAGTGGTATCAAGGGAGCCGACCGTCTAGTAAGCAATGGCAAACTACTAGACGTAAATTTGCCGAGAAAAACCACACAACAGCCAGGGGCTGCTGGAGTTAGTTCTACAACGTGCTGTAAAGGATACGCAACGAACCAGTATAACAATAATCTATGCTGCTGCTCCTTTGTCACACGTAACAGAACGAGACACGCTACATTTCAACACATTACTCTTCCCCACGACCCGTAATAGGTGAAAAACGAAATCGTTCAGAAAACAATGGACATACGCAACCCAGCCTGCTACTGAATAATTGTATATATAAATATGTATATACACACAAACATATTCATTCACTCACAACGCTTTCGATAAGTGGAGAATGTGGTTTCATTAATGCTGAGAATTACACTAACAGAATCTGCATTCTGGAGGTACAGTGAAGTCACGTGAAACACCCTGTACCCATTATGTACCCCCAGTACACCCCCCCCCCCCCCCAAAATGCTATGAAAGTTCATAATCAAACACTGGAAAGAACATTACGAAATCTTTACATATACGTAGGTTCATAAATCACTTATACTTCGAAAGCATTGAAACCAAACAATCATAACATATACATAACACAGATTATCTACAAATCATTCCATTAATAAAGGTAAGGTCCTGGGAAGTAAATGCGGTCGGTGTGATGTTGACCACATCACCCACCGAGCGCTGACTAGTCTATACAGTTCTGGCTCTGTATCCTCAATACACAAAAAGGCGTGGAATAGTCATTCACTTTTTATTATTAAAAAAAACAAAAAAAAAACAGCAATTTAATATACCTAAAATACTTGTAATCTCTGTTTAAACAAAGAAAATTCACATAACTTCCCTAATTATAACAGTTTTCAAGTTTGAACAGGGTAGTCTTCATCACTTAAAAACATGAAAAAAAAATTTTTTACTAGACAGGATACAGGTAGCAGAGACTATATATATATATATATATATATATATATACACACACACACCTCGTATATATTGGCACTGATAGGACTATGAGAAATACGATCTGTGCATCATAAACACGACGCTCTACTAATGTAAGCAAGATTTCCTCCTTCTACTTATACGTACTTAGTTGTTGTTATCATTTTACTGTATCAGCGAAATAAATCTGTTTGTGATGTAGCAGAAGTCATTCTTCTGTAATCCGTTTATATTTTTCTAGACAGCAACAATTATTCTGGCTGCACTCGTTGGTGTTTTCATCTTCCTGAAACACTATGAGTTTGCGGAGATCATGAAACAGTTTAACAGATACGGCCACAGTCGTTTCTTGAACTTCCATACCGTTTTCCAGATGGAGACATATATGCAAGTGTCTATGTCCACGTTGTGTGGAATTGCTATTTTTAAAATGTTACGAGTCATTGCGTAAGTAGATTATTACCGTCTAATAATAAAAATCAAACAGCGGGAAAAAAAAAAGCATTGACAATAAGTGGTAGTGTGCAGGTTAAGTAAATGATTATTTTTAGGCAGATGGTAGACTCGTTTGTATACAGCACAATTAGCACTAAAGAAAATGTGACTGTTAAGACGAAAAGACATAAAGAAACAGATCAGTTATCAAACAGAGTGTAAGGACAATACCATGAAACAAAGCCACTGCGAAACAGAAGATCAAATGGTTTGGTCAGCTGTTAGAATGCAGTCACATCAACTGCTAACGCGTGCGTTCCTCATGAAAATATCTCAAGTAAAAGGAAGAGGTCGCCAAAGGTAAATATAGAATAATGATATTATAGAGCTTCTACCCCAACATAGAATAAAAGTATCTATTGCTGCCCATCAAACAATAGATACAAAACTGTTCCTCCCCACGTCGCTTAACGGAGGAAGTAGATTTTGAGATGATGATGATTAATTTAATTATTTTTGTAGTATTTTTGAGTCAACGAAATACAATGACAGAAATTATGACACTCATATTTAAGGCGTCCAACACCTTGTAATAGTAAAAAGAAATATAGGAATTCAAAATTATATGATTTTTAACAAAGTAATTTTTTTTTTCAACATTTAATGTTATTTATATTTTACCATATACCAGTGAATGTTTACAAACAATTTCAGACGTGTTTATGGAATGTTGAATGAATTCGAAAAACAAATCCACGAGGAAAATGATGAATATCGAATGTGATGACTTCAGTCGGGGCGACGAAGAAAAAGAAAAGTCTGGGCAACCACTAGTATCGACATCTATAAAACAGGGAAGAGTGCGCTATATTGGACACATTCTAAAATAAAAATGACCAGAGAGTCACCAAATTGTCGTCTACATGTGGATTTGAGGGTTTAAGCAAACTAAGACAAATGTTTATGAGAGAAACCAAAGGCGCTGGACTAGACCCTACTCATATCAAAGTGATTGCACAGAATGAAACAAAAAGGAGAAACAGACGGCGAGCCCTATGGGACAGATAATGACACAATAGGAAAACACATGAACCTGTACTCGGTGGATGATTTTGGTCAACATCGCACCGGCCGCCTTTACCCTCCAGCACTGTTTCTCTTAACCGAATTAGGCTGCTTCACTTTAAGTGAAACAATCGGCTAGAAATGTCCCTTAACGACTGTCGTCTGAAGCTTGCATATTATGTTTCACGTATGTGACCCCTAATCGGCTGTGTGGCTAAGTCGATGCGAACGCTTCGTAATGCCGAGATGTCGGGTTCGATCCCAGCAGCGGGCCATGAACCTTGTGTTGGTTTCGACAGTGGTGTAAAGAAAGCCGGCCGTCCATAAAGCAATGGCAAACTACTGATCGTAAATTTGCCTAGAAAAACCACACAACAGCCAGGGGCTGTTGGAGTTGGTTCTACAACTAACCTATATGACCCCTGTCCACGCCTTTTGGTCGAATTTGGAAAAAAAGCAGGACTTATACTTTTTAGTCGAATCAGCACTCGGTTGGTGATGTGGTGAACATCCCGCCGGTAGGCTTCATTTTCTATAAATTTTTCACCGTTATTCGGAGGATAGACACATTTTTTTAGTAAATAGATTTATTGTAAAATTATCGGTAAAAAAGACCGGCATGATTGCATCGTGCTGCGTCTCACACGGCTCGGTAACTCTCAACATAACTGCTAACTGTCGAACACAGCACGGTTTTCATAACTCTAGCGACGTTCCACAATGTTCATTTTAAAGACTACAATCGTGAAGGCAATTAAGTATTTGGTCAACTAAACCCACGACGTTCGGAGCGCAAATCAGATGGCTGAACCGTTTAGCTATGGGATCTTTCTTACAGCAAGTGTAAAAAAAAAAAAAAATAAAGGACCCTTTTCCCACGCCTTTAGGCGTAAAAGGCATATAGGGCTAGACCTATATTTTTATAGACCAATCGGAACAAGATGGGTGATGTGGTCAGCATCACGCCGGCCGCCTTTACTTTCCCGGGACTGCACCCGGCACCCACTCAAGGCTGGGTCGACCTGGGAGCCAAGGTCATTTACAGCAAGTGAATGAACTGATAATACAAGTAATTGATATGCTCAACATTGCTAAACTGTGGTGTTTGATTTTGAATTTTTAGGATCAGCCCAAGTATATCGAGGCCGCTCCGGACATTAAAAATCGCCCAAGAAGGAATCAAGGGACTACTGCGCACGACAGTGATATTGTTACTTATTATGTCAATCACTGCATCACTGCTCTTTGGTAAAATGTTGTATTCATATAGGTCTTTTGAGGTTAGCATGTTTAGTATTCTTGTAGTCGTTATGGGGCAATTCAACTATGAACCATTGGTGGAGGTTCACAACTTTTTATGGCATATATTTGTAATTTTAGTAACTGTTGGAACACACTATATCATTGTTAATTTGTTCTGTGTTTTATTGATTGAAGGTTATGAGATAACAAAATATATGGCTTTTAGGGAGGAACGCGAGACTGTGAAGTACATGTGGAATACAATACAATTATATGCAGGATTTGCCCCTAATAACGCTAAGAAAATTAAAGTGGTATAGGGTTTCCGAAGAATTGTGTGAAACGAGGCAATTAACATGGGTTGCGGCTGTAATTTCAAAGTAGTATGCTGTATGGGAGTGAAACGATGGGAACAGCTAAGACAAATACAACAAAGACAAACACTGCAACCTTTCCTTGACGAGTAGACCTGCACAGAATAGAGTGACAAATTGAGTTGTATGGTCGGATCCGTACTAGCGCTTGAGTATATAACTGCACAAATTCAAGTGAATTAAAAAATGAAGATATTTACATTTCTTTATGTTTATTATCAAAATGACACTTTTGGTAACAGGAATAATAATTATCAATAATCATAACAATAGTAACGCTTTCTGACTACGGGGTGATTTGGAAACTTGACAGCTAGACAACAAACAAGCGTCCGAATAACACACACGTTCAGGTACTTCGCTCTGCTGTTCCATCAGCTAAGGTCAGTTTTAGTTATGATCCATCCCAATGCGGATTGAACCTTAAACCTTCGAATCTGCTTGTAAGCGTCTAATCGTAAAGCCATCTCAGATCCTACAGCAGGGCCATACACGTGTAATATTTGTATAGTAAAAGATGAATAATGGTAATACATTGGCTAACGAATGACTCCATTACGAATTTTCGCTAAAGAATTCTTTTCTTTTAAAAATAATATCAGGCCTCGGATAAAGAATATTTTGTTGCATGCTTATACTAACAGAACGCAACAGCTTCGTTAACAGAAAGTAAGAAAAATTAGTTGCGTCTAAAGAATATTTCGGCTAACGAATCTGATTACGAAATTAACTATCTTCTTCAACTGAGATGCAGCTGGGGTAAATTTCAGGAGCTGCATTATCTACGCATTCAAGTATGAATTTTTTTTTTCTCTTTTAGTATCCAGAAGCCATGAGTTGTTAACCGTTAGGCTCAGTCCTATGGATATAGCTACCCTTCGGCCTTGATTCCATGATAGGTACCGTAAAGCTGGAAGAAATGTGGCTTTTCTGCCTAGCCCCGGGCATGAACCCGGACCACAAGGAGTTCGTCACCCGGTCGCCGCGTAGTCCGGTTCAGACAACTACGCTAGGGAGCTTGGCTCAAGTATTACAATGGCTCAAACAATAATATTCTGAAAGGTGTACTGAATATTAGCTTATTAGTGTCAATGTTATTTTAGTTCACTAATCTATGTGTACAGTGTGAAAACAAGTAACCCAAAGTGTATTACACAATGTTTCTGTTTTGTATGAATTAATACATACACATTAGACAATCGGATCATATTCTTGTTTTTATTTTATTTTTTTTTTATTTTGAAATGAAGAGAAAGATGACCTGTCCTGCTTCACCATTTAGGAGTTGAAACTAAGTTAAGTTGCGTATTTTCAGTTCAAATGTATTGATATTTTCACATCATCATCATCATACTCATCATCATGAAGCAGTCGCATCACAGACCATCGTTGCTATCACAGATCGCGTTACCAACATTGTCACTCATCAGTTCCCCCGCCTCATCCATTTTCCTGTTGAAGTTGTCTTTTTATATCCTATGCCATTTGCGCTGATCGGAGAATGTCCATCGTATCTGGCACGATGCGTTTCGTTACTGGCTACTGTTGTAGTGTCTCCCTACTAGTGTCTACTAGTGTCTCCCTCCATTGCACCAGGATGCAGGTGGAGCACACTGGGATACCATGACAGTGATCACTTTCCTTGCGTCGTCTTGGTGGAGAAGAGCAACAACAAAGGTCATGTAATCAATGTGCCTGCTTTTATATATGACCGTACAGGGCAAGATGCCATTAGCAAAATCAGACGACGTAATACAAGAGCAGATCGCAGACGGCGGGAGAGATGGGCCCAGCCACCATGGTGGAATGAAGCAGTCAACATAGCGTGGCTAGAAAAAAGGAACGCTGTCAAGGCATGGCAAAAGGCAAGGAAAATTGATCCGTCACTTTCTGAACGCCTGATCAGTCTGAAAGATGAGGTCAACAAGCGGACAGTGGCTTTCAAGTTAATTGCGAAAGAAGCCAAGACAGCGAAATGGAACGAATTCTGCAAGAGCGTTTGCTCCGAGGGATCTCTTGTGACATTCTGGCGCCTTCAACGGAGCATGCACGGCGCCGCACGACCAAGGGGTATCCCTGATTTTCAGGGTACAGACCTGATATGGCAGAGAACTGATGCTGATAAAGGAAAAACCCTTCTTGCGCGCTACTTGGAGCAAACTGACCAAAAAGACAAAGCTGCAAGAATAGGGGTTAAGATGAAACTGTCGATGCTGTGCGAGAACACTGAGCTAGGCACTGATTTCACAATCACTGCAGACACCTTAAGAACTTGCCTCAAGAAATCGCGCAGCACTGCTCCAGGCCCTGACGGCATCCGATACAATGACATGCTGATGATGTTGAATGCTGATTTGAAAAGCGTGGCAAAGGAATTCAATATCAGCATCCAGAGTGGCCAGATACAAGAGGAATGGCTCCATAGTTATTTGTTTCCACTACCAAAGCCTAATAAAGACCACCCAAAGATCTGCGGCTACAGAATCATCTCGATGCAGAATACTGTTGGCAAACTTTTGGAAAAAATTGTCGCACAAAGATTGACCACCTACTTAGAACTACATGATAAGTTCCCATCAACACTTGGAGGGTACAGATTGAAGAAAGAGACATGGTCCAATGCTGCTGTTTTCGCCTACGATGTGTACGAGGGATTTCAGATTAAAGAAGAGACATGTGCGGCAGTGTTGGACTTAGAAGATGCCTACAATAAAGTACCATATGATTATTTAATGCAATTACTGCTTAAACTAGAAGTCAATCCTATTCTGATCCGCTGGATTGCTGCGGTCCTGTTCCAGAGAAAGATTGCACTAAGATGTGGTAGCTGGTCCTCAGAACCGCAAACGATATGTCCAGGCTTGCCACAGGGATCACCGCTATCACCAGTCTTATTCAACGTTTATACGGTGATGATCACTGAGCAACAGTTGAATGGAAAGGGAAGGACTTTGTCATTTGCTGATGACATTTTGATTTATCGACGAGGGCGTGATAGACAAGAGATCGCTAGCACAATGCACAAAGAACTCGATCGAATTGCCGCCTGGTGTGATGGTTCCAATGCCTATGTCAATCCCTCGAAGGCAGCAGTGTCATGGTTCTCTTTGAACAATCACATTGTCAAGTCGGACTTACCAGAAGTGAAAATGCGTGATAATGTATTGATCAGAACCAACGTTATGACGTTTCTCGGGGTGAGGTTTGATCGCAGCTTGTCATTCAGGGAACACGTTGACCATGCGATAACAAAAGCACGCAAAGGTCTATCTGCAATGAAGATTATGGCTGCTTCCAATATCGAGCAAAGACTGCTGGTGCTTCTATTCTACGGTCTGGTCCTTTCCCCCATTGAATACGCTCTGGCCATCCTCACTGTCAGTGCTACCCAGATTGAACGACTCGAGAAGGTGCAAAATGAAGCCATGCGTATTATTTTGGGATGTACAAGAGACACATCCTGTGGAGCAATGAGGTATCTACTTGACTTTCCAACAATGAACCAAAGGATCAGGATGTGGGGGGCTCGGGCATACCTCAAAATATGTGCTGATAAGAAACACCCACTGCATCAAGCGCTTTTTAGTGAAAAGGGCGACAGACTGAAGAGGGGAAAATCGTGGCTAGGTCGGGCAGAAGATGTTATTAGGCAAATATGCAGCCTAACCGACATCATACCTGGTGCAGAATGGATACCTGTGCCTCAGGCGTTTATTTGTACATTTTCCTGTATTGTCACACTCAACAGGCGATGTAGAGAAGAGAATCCTGTTGCTGTTAATGCAGAGGTCAACGCTCTCATCGGTGAAAATTCAGACGAAGCAGATGCACTAATCTATACAGACGGATCCGTTATACGCCAAAGAAGAAGCGCATGGGCATTTACAGCACGCTCAGCGGGCATAACAGTCAAAGAAGCCAACGGCGCCTTCTCCATGACAACCAGCAGCATGACGATGGAGGTGATGGCAGTGACGCAAGCGTTTGCCTGGCTTGAAACACAAAAATACACCCGCATATGTATACTCAGTGATTCAATGAGTATGATCCGGAGGGTTCAGGCAGGTTCAGTGCGAAGACGATGGCTTGAATCAATTCAGAAGTCCACTGTGCGAGGAGTCACCTTTATTTTTGTTCCGGGACACGCAGGCGTCGATGGAAATGAAAGAGCTGACAGGCTGGCTGGATCCGCTATCACTACCGACGGTCGGCCTATGGATCATGCTGATATTATCAATGCCCTCAGAGAAATGGGAAGGATAGAGGACTTTGGTGGCAGTGAATCCACATCACTCGCCAGAATGGCAGACTTGGGAATTAAGATCGGCACAGCAAAAAAAGAGACGCACACCGGACACGTCAGAAGATTTGTTAATCAACATAGAACTGGTACTATTAGCCATCGGACGTTGGGATTCATACTGAGGGGAGGATCTGAGCACCTATGGACATGTCCGGAGTGCAATGATGATAACCCAACTAACTAACTAACTAACTAACTAACTAACTAACTAACTAACTAACTAACTAACTACTGTTGTTTCCAAACCTTAGTGGTGTTTGGGGTGATCAAAGCATTTCAGTTTCTGAGACATGATGCTGTTATGTTACCAGTCATTTTTCCTTTGTGTTTGAATTTATTTGAGGATTGATTTGATTTGATTTGGTTCAAGAACAGACATCACAGAGCTCGGGGCATTCCCAAAAGCGCTCCGTCCCCATCTGCAGCAGCCAGCGAAGAGTCCTGATGCTAATGGTGCCTGTAAACGTCTGTCTTACTTTTCCTCTGAGCCTCGAGCATCTGCCAAAACTTGTCGTCACTCCCCACTGCATCATTCTAACCAGACTGTGGTGATCGATCCATTTATTTAAGGATGGTAATAAGCAGAAGCTAGGGAGACATGACATTACGTGTAAAAAAAGAAAGGCAAATGGTCCAGACAAAA